CATTCTATTCCCTCCAAACAAGAGAAAAAAATAAGGTCCTTTGTTCCTGAATTAGGAGTTCCATATTATAGGTTAATCTCAAACCATCAGAGGAATAACTGTTAGGCTACGTCTACACTGGCCCCTTTTCCGGAAGGGGCATGTAAATTTCACCAGTCGTCGTAGGGAAATCCGCGGGGGATTTAAATATCCCCCGCGGCATTTCTATTCCCTCCAAACAAGAGAAAAAAATAAGGTCCTTTGTTCCTGAATTAGGAGTTCCATATTATAGGTTAATCTCAAACCATCAGAGGAATAACTGTTAGGCTACGTCTACACTGGCCCCTTTTCCGGAAGGGGCATGTAAATTTCACCAGTCGTCGTAGGGAAATCCGCGGGGGATTTAAATATCCCCCGCGGCATTTAAATAAAAATGTCCACCGCTTTTTTCCGGCTTTTTTAAAAGCCGGAAAAAAGCAGCGGACATTTTTATTTAAATGCCGCGGGGGATATTTAAATCCCCCGCGGATTTCCCTACGACGACTGGTGAAATTTACATGCCCCTTCCGGAAAAGGGGCCAGTGTAGACGTAGCCTTAGTGTTTTATCAGGGATGGCCAATACTTGTTTTCCAAGGTCAAGATATAGAAGTCAGGTTAGTTATTTTTAATATGTCTTTCTTGAGAAGAAGCTGTTAAACTTCACATACACATGTGTGCACGTGCCAATGTACAATTTTCATTAGCTTCTAATGCCAAGGAAAGTGTCCAATCTCCAGCATGAAGACAAGACAGTGTCCAAAATTGTCCCTTTCATTTTCCTTGAAAACATTGCAAGGAATTCCCCAAAAAAGGAAGACAATCGGGTTAAAAAAGTGAAACCATATTGAAGAAAGGATCATATGTATTTTACAACCTTACAATAGGAAGGTAGAGGTTATGTGCTTTAAAGAATTACACTGACTTTGTTCCTGCTTCATTTGACTGTGCTTTCAATTAAACTCTTCATCTCCTTATTTAGAAAGAAAGGATGAAACCTTTCTGTGGAATTATTGTTTGCATTTGCCTCTCTCCTCCCTTATCCCAAACTCACCTCCACCCTCATTGGACCCTTGTTAAGCAGTATAGATTAGTCTTTAGATGTAGAAGAAAAAGCAAAGTGTAAATATGTGTAACTAGGTACCTTCAAGTAACAAAGGCTGTTGTGATCAACATGAGAGCACACTAAAAACTAGAATGGAATCTTTGTAGTAATAAAAGCCCTACTCTCAGAAACCATGTCCACAACTGGAAGGGAATGTAATGGCATCTACATTGACTTGACAAAAACTTTACAGTCGCCTGAAATTCAGAGCTGACTACGCACTTTTTCTAAAGCCGTCATCCTTATATACATTTTCTCTTTGTTAACCATGTATCTTTGGCTGCCAAAGTGATGATTAGTGTATGTTCTCGATGATTTTTTTTTTAAATTCCCACCTGTTTTTTAAGTTTATTGTCATTCCTAACGCTCATTCAGCATGGTGCTAAATTTTAATAATTTTTCTAGTGAGACGTGAAAAGTATGGATTATTTGAGCTATTACCAAGATTGGCCACCACTAAGCACATGTTTTTTTTATTCTTAACTATGGTATGCTAACTCCGAGCCTCTAGTTTACGTTACGTTTACTGTGTGATATATATCCGTTGAATCTCAGTGTTGTAAGCCCATTTAGTGCTATGTATGTACTGTGTGTAAGGGACAAGGTCATTTGTGTATTTCACTTCTGTAACACAGATTGCTGCTATAGTAAATTAATTTTATTAACAAACCCTGAAAGTTTGATAGGAGTTGGGTTTTTTTAATTACGTAGTAGAATTTCTACATTAGGTTTATGAAACTGTATTAGCTTAAAATAGTGGTACAAAGTTCTGTTTAAGATGCTCTCCTTTCTAATCCCTGGCACCAGGACGAGGAGTCTGGATTCCCCAATGGGAACCGCAGTTAAGTGGTTAGCTATGGGAGCTTCGGCCCTGTCAGCGCCAGGCGTGTAATACACACCGTACCTGTGGAGAACTAGCACTGCTATCAATACTACCCTTTGCTTTAAACTTACATTATTTTTATGAACCCTTGAATACAAAAGCCAGTTCAATGAAGAAAAAAATGCAGATAAGAACTAACAAACCTTAGGTAAAATGTGTGTTCTAACTACTGACCTATTCTAGTTTTTCCAAGCTTTCCCTGAGAAGCTGTATAATGTCATTAACCTTCTGCTTTGATCAGGAGAGAAGGGTCCCTCCTCCAGTGCCAAAGAAGCCAGCGAAAGGTCAGGTGCCACTCATACGGGAACGTTCTCTGGAAAGCTCACAGCGTCAAGAGGCCCGGAAACGGCTGATGGCTGCCAAACGAGCCGCATCTGTCCGCCAGAATTCAGCCACTGAGAGCGCTGAAAGCATTGAGATTTACATCCCCGAAGCTCAGACCAGGCTATGAAGGAGGACTTCACTGGCAAGACAAGTCTCTTGTATAATCTGCTCCTCTAGGTCCCTGCTCAGAACCACCATTAAGTATTTGTATTTCTCTTTCTTTCTTTCTTTCTTTCTCTCTCTCCCTCTCCATAATCCCAATGATCCCAATGAATTCCACTTTTGTGGTGTAGCTGTCAATCCTCCAAGAGATGTCCTCTAATAACCCTTGCTTTTTAAAGGTTTGCCCATGTCATTATTCTGCTTTGTCACATGTATTGATGCTGCCACCTTGCCTCATGTAAGAGAGTGCAACCCTTCTTTCTGTTTAAGAAATAAATACAGAACACACACACACACACACATACACCTGTATAGTAAATACACCATTTAACTCATTCATGATCTTTAGTTTATCTAAAGTTAGTCTGTTACCTGGTGTACAGCAATATAAAACTATAGAGTATTTTGGAAATTCAGTAATGCAGGATGATCCTTTGGGACTCTGCCGTCTTCCTCATTAAAGATTAAAGAAGCTATGGCTCGGATTCCCTTTTTATTACTAATTATTTTTTAAGCAGATGGCGCACTTTATTCTACCCACAGAATCATATCGCACCTGAATTTAAGAAGTCACAAAGGGCAAGGCAGGGAGAAAGATAGCTGTGCTGTGGTGGAAAAGGAGAGAGAAGTAAATCCTGTAGGTGAGTTGGTGAAGTACAGAAAAGATCCTGTGAAAAGACACCTGCACACTCACAGCTGCACAAACTGCCTCATTTGTATTTCATCAATCACCACTAAACATTCTGATCAGCAGAAGATTGTAAATTCGATCTTCCAGGGAAATCATCTATTTTGAAAGGCAATAAAAGGGCAAAAAGAAAGGAGATAAGAAGAAATGATGGTTGAAGATATTATAAAAAGGGACTTTTTTGTCAAAGTATTAAGAATTTTATAAATGGTACTGTATTGTCAATTCCTATTGTATTGTATTGTATGAATTATATTGATTTTAAAAAAAGAAAAGAAGAAAAAAAAGCTTGGTTTTGTTGACGTCTTAATCCTGGTGAAACTATCAGATTTCACACCTATCCACCCTTGTTATTGAAATACTGTACATGGACTCCATTATGTTTTTCAAAGCAAGAATTTTGTTTTATACGCAGCTGGTTGTATGCTTCAGGTTAGACTGCTTCTATCAGCTGGTTTATAACTGGAAGTAAGTTTCTCCTTTAGTCTCTTTTTTAAAAATATAAAATACCCAGTTTTTCAAAAATGAGGATTTTTCACAAGCAGTGGGATATAATGAGCCTATATTTGTTCACTACACTAGCTTTTGAAAACACAATATGCATTTCCTAGTCTTCAGTTTATTTGATACTTAGGGTAAAATCGTGCCCTTGCTGTGTGATGTTGGACTGATGGAGGAAGGTATTTGGCTGTGCATTAGCAGCGGTAACCACTGTGCCAGGACATATCTTGAGTATGTCACTGAAAATGGAACAGCTGGCACATGCTGCAGAAGGCAACATTAGTTGGCTGAGCCCACCTGGCCATCCTCCATCATCAGCAGACCATGCCCTTTTGGGAGTGTTGTGTGTCTTTTGGCATAGTCATCATTCCTCGTTATTAGTGCTCTTGAGCTCAAAATTAGAATCCTGCCCTCTGGTTCTTCCTGTGATCTCTTCTCTCACTTGGACATCCAAATAGCACGTGGCAGGCTGTGACCTTACAAGAAAGGAAGAGATTTTCTCTCTAATCTGAAAATAGTACAGTGGCGGAGTCTACCAAGTGGTAGCTAATGTGGACTTTGCATCCAATCAAAGTTGGCTGTAAAGGCCCTTATTCTTTAAACAGTATGAACATTCCAGCCGTGGAAATTCCAGTGCGTGGTAGACTTAATTGTGTAGCTCAAATCTTAAATTCCCATCAGAAAGGTAACGGCTTTCTAAAAATATACATCTAAGATCATGACAGACAGCTTCTTTTAATGTAACATAGCCAGGTGCTAATTTAAATTCCTTCAAGAAATTTAGGAGTGGTAAAAGGTTCTGGCACCACCAAATAGTTTCATGAAAACATTGTAAAGCCACTTGAGAATTTGCTACCTCTCGAAGCCATTGATCTCTGAGCTATGTCTTTATAAACAGGGCACAAATATTTACTGCTGTGGTTTACAAGATAAGGGCTAATAATTTAATATTTAAAAGACTTTTAACTAGAGTGACCAGAAATCCAATGTAACCCAACTGAGTGCTTCATGTTAAGGGAGCTTTGAAAGGTTGGCCCTATAAGCATTTGAATACCAGTGTATTTGCTAGTTTTGAAAAGAACCCACTTCCTTTAACTTTTAGCAGCAATGACAGATTACAATGTTTGCAGTATATATAGTGCCTACTGCCACTTCTGGTCATATCTCAAATGGGCACATTAAGTATTACAAATTATTTGGACCTCATTTGTACTAAGATGTACAAAGCAACGTTCAGGTGAGGATTCACATTCACATTCACAACTACATTTCAGTTTGATTTGAAGTTTTCTGAAAGAAGAATTAAGACTTAGCTTGAGAAGTGGCTAGAAAAATGGAAGACAAAGAAAATGGAAGACGTTAGTCTTGTACATTATGAATCATATTTGTATATCATATGATATTTTGGTATGTATTTTAAATGAATCGATTCTTAGCTCAATGTCTGCTGGTTCTTAATGACTGTGGATAGGCCATTATAACATTTACCTAACTTTAACTGCAAAATGTGAAGTGTACACCCAATTTAGAAACAGGTAAATATGGGCCAGAAAACTACTTCTGCCCCCTCAGAGGCCATTAGTTATTCACCTGACTCATTCCATACCACCACAGACATACGTTATCATTTATTTTTGTGTAACTATTTATTTTTTATTCTAATCTACCCAAGTGTAAACTAAAAATGACTATATTCTGGTAAACTTGGTACAAAATTGTTGCTTTTTATTTCCTTGGTAGAAAATTTAAAAGAAAAAAGGTTGTTTTTGTCTCCTGCATTGGAAGTTTAAAAAATAGTATTTATTATATTTTTTGCAGATGTTTCCATAAAATTCTCATAATCTTTTTGTAAAGAGTGATGAAGAAATGGATTAAAGATTTTTAATATTTGAAAAGGTAAATAGAAATAACTTATTTGTAATATACTTCACGTTTATTTATTGGTGTACTACCCTTAATGTTCTGATGTGCACTATCACTTTAATTTAAATTTTATCTTTGTGAATTTGTTTCTTTTTTAAAGAAAAAAGTTTAAATGCATATTTTAAATAATAACTGGAATGTAAATCACTGGCCTACCTGCATTCCTAAATGTGATTTTAAAAGTGTTTTTCATTTGGAGAAAAGGCACCAAAATTGAAAGCCTTTAGATGGAGGGATGGAGAGCATTTTTATGGCTTTATGAATTGGGTTTTCATAGGATTATCTATCTAGTTTGTGTGTGGACAGAAAAATGTAAATAGTCGAACGTTTCCCACAATGTAAAAAAACAAATTAATAAAATAATTAATGCACTGCTTGTAAGAGCTGTGTGTTTTCAATGCAAATTCACAATCCCACAACTGTAAAAATGATTTATTTGATGTGGTCAAGTATAAACGCATTACGCATAACCACCAGAATGCTACTGTTAACTATTTGCAGATTTAGATGCTGATCCTACAAAGACTTTGCATGGGCAACTCAATTCACATGAAGAGTCCCAATGAGCTCACTGGAAATATTTATATTAAGTTACTCACTAACGTAAGTGTTACCAGGATCAAGGCCTGGCTCTTTAGAAATATTTTAAAGGCAAAGCTACAAGGGGTTAAGCCCCATGAAGATGACAGAAGTTCTACTATTGCATTCACTGAAATGAGGGCAAGCCATATGTTCATTTTTCACCACACTGGGTTCCTTCATGTTGTAAATACCTTCACTTGTGGCTAAACTGTGGTGAGACAAATTGGAATAAGCAAGTACAGCTGAATTCCTTTCAGTGGAATCTGTATACCAGAATGAATTTTGTCCAGTATATGTGACAAAGACATTCTATACATCTTAAAGCAATGCCCATCTGAACTGTAACCCTATCATCTCTATTTCATAACAATACAACTGAATGCCAACATTTTAAAATAAATCAGGATGTGGAGTCAGTATATTGAGGGTAATTATTTTACCTGTATCTCACAATTTACCATACCTTATATTAGCTAAGCCAATTACATTTAAATTTGTCACCCGCACTCAGGGTGTGTCTAGACTACATGCCTCCTTCGACGGAGGCATGTAGATTAGCCAGATCGTAAGAGGGAAATGAAGCCACGATTAAAATAATCGCGGCTTCATTTAAATTTAAATGGCTGCCCCGATCTGTCGATCAGCTGTTTGTCGGCAGATCGGGGCAGTCTGGATGCGATGCGCCGACAAAGAAGCCTTTCTTCATCGGCACAGGTAAGCCTCGTGAAACCAGGTTTACCTGTGCCGATGAAGAAAGGCTTCTTTGTCGGCGCATCGCGTCCAGACTGCCCCGATCTGCCGACAAACAGCTGATCGGCAGATCGGGGCAGCCATTTAAATTTAAATGAAGCCGCGATTATTTTAATCGCGGCTTCATTTCCCCCTTCCGATCTGGCTAATCTACATGCCTCCGTCGAAGGAGGCATGTAGTCTAGACACACCCTCAGTATTAACTTGCTAACCTTGTCGGCGCATCGCGTCCAGACTGCCCCGATCTGCCGACAAACAGCTGATCGGCAGATCGGGGCAGCCATTTAAATTTAAATGAAGCCGCGATTATTTTAATCGCGGCTTCATTTCCCCCTTCCGATCTGGCTAATCTACATGCCTCCGTCGAAGGAGGCATGTAGTCTAGACACACCCTCAGTATTAACTTGCTAACCTCATGTGTTCTGTATGGGTGTGTCTACACAGCAGGGCTTAACTCGAAATAAGCCACACAAAATGAGCTACATCAATTGTGTAGCTTATTTTGATATCGGGAGCATCTACACAGCACTTATTTCAAAACAGAGCACTTTTCTTCCAACATCCCTTACTCTTCATACAATGAGGGTTACAGCAGGAGTCAGAGTAAGAAGTCATCCATCTTGACAGTATGTCAACATTATTTCAAAATAACTGCCTAGTGTGTAGACACGGACTAAGTTATTTCAAAATAACACTGTAAACCTGTAAACCTCATTTTTTGAGGAAGAAGGGATCTTATACAAAACGGGGGTTTTCCGACAAATGGCCCCGTCTATACAGGGCTTTTTATCACAAAAACCTCTTCCGCAAAAAGGATCAGAAGAGAGTATACAAATGAGAGCACAAGATTTGCAAATTTGCAAATGAGCGCTCCATTTACATTTCCTCTTCTGAAAAACTGCCACAGTGTAGACGTAGCCAGAGAGAATTTCCCGTTCTTTGCAGAATTCAGTCCTTTCTGGATACAACTAAACTGTCTGTACTAGAGATGATATCCCTAGGGTTCATTAAAAATCCTTTTGAAGTAGATTTTTTTTTTCATTCAAAATGGACCAGAACGTACCAAATAGCAGATATTTTCAATATGTTTTCCAGAGGAATAATGTAGCAATCCCTTTAGCAAGGTCTTTACCCTCTACCTCACCCTCTTGATTAATCAAGGTGAACACTTGTGCTAACAATACAATTGGTCTATTTTTCAAGACCAAGTTAGGATTATTTCCTGCAAGCATGGCTTAATATCAAGTTATTTGCCAAACACTATTGGCTTCCTCTTTGGTTATGAGTCTAGGAATGCATTATTCTTTACACTAAACAGCAAAATAATAGAATCCTGCTGCCTCACTCATCATCTGTGTGAGCATACACTCCCCGGCTGTGTCTACACTGGCATCCCTTCTGGAAAAGGCTTGAAGTAGGAATAAGAGATCCTCCGGAAAAGGCTTTATTTTCCGGAGAATCACGTCTGGCGCTTTTTTCCGGCTTATCTCCAACCTGGAAAAAAGCGGCAGCCATGTTGATGCAAATACCGCGGCGGATATTTAAATCCCCCACGGATTTGCCTATTCCAAAGTGCTACATTAGCATCCCTTTTCTGGAAGGACTGTAGACACAGCCACCAAGTATACAGCAGGGTAGTTCAGGGGTCCTCGCTATAAGTCCAAGATACATTCAAAAAAAACTTGGACTTATAGCGAAACAACGTAAAGTGGGGAATTTTTTTCCCGCAGCTGGCTTCCATTTAAGCAAATTGGGGGGAATGTTTTGCACTACTTATAGTGGGGAATGGGAGGCTTTATAATGCATCAGTTTCTACAAACGTCAACAACTTTAGTGTGGAACAGATGTATACCGGGGAGACTTATAGCGAGGACCCCCCTGTACAGTCTATAGGTTAATACATTTGATAAGAGACCCTAATTACAATATTAAATATGAATTATTAAAATAAATATTAAAATATTAATATTAAAATCAGCACATCCCTGGCCTTTATCACTGAATTCTTTGGTTTTTGCTTAATTGTTTGGAGCAGTCACACGTTTCTCTCAGAAAAAAAGTGACGTGGCCTTAATCAAGGCAAAAGTCTGTAGTTATTGAGTTTTATGAGTAATTGTGCACTGTGATGCACTGTAAATAGGAACAACGATGAGTGAAAACTGGCACCTGTAGCTTCCTTGTATATTGTAACTAAGCTTGGTGATGTTCAGTCAACACAGCACAGCATCCTGTCCTTCCTCCTCAAGATGTTTGAAAGAAAATGGATGAGGTAACAACCACTTACAAAGAGTAAATTACCCGAGCCGGTACACCAAGTCATGGGTCAGTGCAACTGTTCAGTTAGTAAAAATGCACCTTGGCTAGGAAAAAAACCTCTGCTTCACAAATAGCACACCAGTTGCATTACAAAAAAACTCTCAAATGCCAGAACTCATAATAAAATGACTGTGTGTGTGTGAGTGTACATGCCACGCTGCAACACATTAAAAAAAATGTCCTTCCAAGCACCCACCACAGGCAACACAAATACATTCTCTCTCAGCTGCTTTTATGCAGATAGGAGTAGTTTCACAGTTGCCATCTGTGTTCTTGCTCAGATATTGCGCATAGCAAAAAAGGTATATGCTATTATTTTATTCAACAAGAGTTGTTTGGATTTCAGCTACTAATCATGACGTGATTGGCATGTTCAGCGAACAGTCAGACTTTCCCACGCATAGGACAGATCTTCAGTCAACAGTCTCTCACTAATACAAATTAATATAACAGGTCTTATATTTCTCTGTGAGGCACATGTACAGTCTACAAAAGACAAAGAGCCAAGGAAAGGAACTAGGCTTCCTGGTAATAGTGTTTTCATGGTTCTCTTCATTGGTCCAGTAACCATATAAATATAGAAATTAGAGACAGAAAAGCTTTATTAGGTCATTGTGTTAATCCCTCTGCCAATGCAAAATTATTATCTATTGTGCTGCCCTGTCAGGTAAATCCTGACTTTAGTGAGTTAGCTCCACCCAGCAAAACCAGGTGGGAAAATTGAGCTGTGGAACTGACACAAGCTGCTGTGCATGACTCATAGTGAGGCCTCCATTTTCTTATCCAGGAAGGAACAATCCCCATGGCTGGGTGCCTTTTTTATCCAAACAGAAAGGAAGCAATTATGGGCTTTGCCACAGCTCCATTGAGAGAGAAATAGCTGAGAGTTTTAGATCCTCTTGAGGATTCGAACAATACGGCCTCTCAGAGGTTGCCATTCTGTGGAAAGTACATGGATGAAATGGCAAATGTTCAGGGAAAGGAATGGGCCTTGAGAGGAAGAAAAGGAGCAGGCCAGAATGCAATGAGTAGGCAAAGTATATCACATGTAAAACCACACAGCATAAGAAAAGTCACTTGGGTGAAATCTCTGCTGAAGTACCTTTTTGGTGATCATAACATTATAACAAGGGGAACTGATTGGTAAATAAGGAAGAACTATTTACAGTCTGTCATCGTGTATTATAGATTGCTATGCACTCATTTATTTTAACTAAGGAAGAATTAACTTGTACAGTTCCTTCTCTCAGGCCAGGTCTACGCTGCAGGGGGAAGGTCAGCTTAAGGTGTGCAACTATAGCTACATAAATAACATAGATGGAGTGACTTACCTTAAGCCAAGACTGGCGCCGTCTTCACAGTGGGAGGTTGACAGGAGAAACACTCCCGTCGACTTCCCTTACTCCTTGCAACAGTGAGGAGTACCAGTGCCAATGGGGGCTCCCTCAACATTTGATTTTGCGGGTCTTTACTAGACCTTCTAAATCGAACCCTGGAAATCAATTGCCAGCACATATATTCTCAGGTAAGTAGAGACGTGGCCCTCCTTGAACTCTGGAGAGAGACCTAGTGGGAGTCCTGTATCAATATTTTGGCTTTGAAATAATGTGGCCTACTTTTTACAATTTTATTTTTACTAAGTCTCAGAAAAGCTGCCTGAGGTAACTGCATGAGAAAGTGAGCGATCATGAACTACTCCAGTTCTTGCAGCATAGCTGAAACCATTCCCTTTTTATTTTATAAAACCT